TTTCCTCTCATGTTCAGCTCCTTGGTTGGGAAGTAAATTGCAGTTATAATTGGCTCTCCTCAGATAGCAAACCTTACTTAATAAAGCTCTCTTGGATAGTCATTGCACATCAATTTCTGTTGGCTTTTTTAGAGGAAACCCATCTTATGACACCTTGACAAAACACAGAACGAAGTGCTCTGACAAGGCTCTCCCCACCTCTTACCCCCCTTCCCGGGCCGTGAAGTTTATATGGTCATTGAACTACAGAAAGGTTGGCTGAAATCTTTTTGGCGTAAGAGGGAGTTGAAGCATGGTTAATAGGAATGACTGAGCTGTTGGGCCAAAGGGTGAAATATCCTGTCTGTCTCCGAGCATGCGGGGTACAAGGGCTTGGCCAGTCGCTGCGCTCAGGGAGCGGCTACGAGATTCGGCCCCATCGGTGGGGGAAGCTGTGGCCGTGAGCTGTGTTGAGACTCAGCCTGAATGGCCACAACTACTCAAGACTGAGGTTTGCTGACACTTGCCAAGGTGCCATGGGACACTGGGCCTTGCTGGTGGTCGTTGGCTGCATATTAAGCCCTTGGAGTAGGAGTAGTGGTTCAGGTGCTTTGGTGGAGGCACCTCCATAGACGTGTCTGCACGTGAGTGATGTCTGACCTCCCGTGCACCCTCGGGACCCAGCACAACTCCCTCGCTGCTGTTTGGGGCTCCTTGTGGCACTGGAGTATCTGCAGGAAGCCCACAGATACGATGCAGTTTCCTGAGAAACCAAGCCTGGGGCAGAAAGATCGAGGTGTAGCGGGAGGAGGTAAAGGCGGGAAGCAGGAAAAAAAAATCCCTATCGCTCATGGAAGGGAGACTGAAAACAGGTTTTGAAACGTTGCTACGGAAATAGCTGTGCATGTAGCACACAGGCTGGGCGTCACAGGTGGAAGACCTACTCCTGAGCACCCACAGCTTCCAACCACTGCTTTTAGCCTTCTGCTTTCTGGTGCTGAGCAGCTTTGCAAACCCAAGCCCAGCACGGTTTTCCTCTACCAATATGAGGCTGATTCTCCTCCTTTGGTTGTGCCTTCCCCAGATGGCTACAACTCCCTTAGCAGCCACCATGTGCTCTAATATTCACCTTAAATTGCCCCGACTTACAAATCACATTCGCATGGCGGGGCAGGCTGCAAGCCACCTTGCCCCCTAAATCAGCCCCCGCGCCCCAGCGGCTGCTCTACCACGTGCTGCACAGACAGAGGCAATTTGTATCAAAACTTTATTTATTAAACAAAAAAATGCACCATTGGAATAACATTTCTATAAAAAATGAATATGAGACTGTTCTACAGTGCATTACAAAACCCCCTTTTTCTTCATGTAGTAGTATACAAGATTGTGTGTAGAAACAGTCATTTATTTTTAAACTGTAAGCAAGTTTCCTTTCTCATAGAACAAGATTTACACTTAAATATTGCAGTCACTATTCTAATTTGGTTAACAATGCTAGAGTCTGACAATTTAAAGAAACTGTTTATAGGCTCAAAATGCCATCTTTAGGCCTTTTGTAACAACATTTTTTTTTTTTAAACTAAGGCTAGTTAAAGCTGTAGTATAACCCATTTCTATCAGATAAAACATATCACTAGTATGCTAAGAATTTTTGAATTACCTTGCAAAGCCCTTTAAATGGAGAAACAGCACTGGTTTTGCCAGTGCTGCAGCATTTAATTCGCAGGCCGGGGCCGGTGTTTCACAGTTACCTTTCTGCTGTGCGTGACCGTGGTGGAGACCAGTGAAGACCGAGCAAGACCCTCTTGCCGGACCTTCTCCGGCTTCCTCCGGCGTGGGAGCGAGTAACGCGGCCCCCAAGCGCAGCACGCAGGGCCATGGGCACACTGCAGCTTTAACCGCCTGCTCTAGCTTTCCAGCCAGGTATCCCTTGTATCATAAATTATCCAAAAGAAAACACTCTAAAGAATAAATTAAATATTACTTTTAAAAAGTACTAAAAACAGCATTGTCCCTTCTCCTACCGACACTGCTTTCTCGCACGTCGAAATACATGTACAGCATACAGTGAAATACATGGGCTTGTGCCGCTTCATGACGTATGTGCGGTGTCGTGGTCTCCGGTGGAGAGCGAGCAGAATGAACATGTTTTAAATGCTTTTTTTGCCGAGAGCTTGAAGAAAAGGTCATGGAGCCCCCCGCGAATTCAGTTTGGAATCAGACAGGACACTCAGGAGCTAACAGGGACGGAGGTAAAACAAATCCAACACGAAAACCCATCTCTGATCACTTATGAAGTCTGTGGCCTTGATTGACCAAAAAAAAAAAAAAAAAAGGCCTCATTCGTCCAGTTTCTGGGTATCCGTCCCAGAAACGAGACCAAAGGGTTTTTGCAGCTTATCATCTACCCTTCTGTTCCTCACTTACGTTGCCCACGGAGTACTTTTCTTACCTAAGCCTGTTTTAGGGACTTAATTAGCATCTCAGCAACACTGCCAGCCCCGACCCTGCAAACCTCGGTGCCTGTTTTTATCGGCGGCGGCGTTAGAGATGTTTCACGTCTGCTCAGGGCAGTGTGCACGCGCACCTGCATGCAGACGTGCAGGACGCGCGGCAGGCACCGGCACACACCGGCTATCCCAGGAAATGACCCTCAGTGAGCTACAGGGTGAATTACTGCACCAGCTCTGCTCGCAGGAAAAAAAAATCACCCCCTGCTTTCTACAGGCTCAAAGGATCCAGAGATGGAGATGCTGTAAATTCACCCTCTGTCTTTCTTCCTTGCCTAAACAAGCCCTACAGCCTTGGGCTGCCCTCTTTTGGCCTGGTGTTTTCTGGATTGCACGGTGTCTTTTGGCACAAAATGCCCGTGGTAGTGAGCGTGCGCTGCACACATGTCCAGAAGGTCTGGAAAAATGTTTTAAAGAAATATCTAGTCATTAAAGATGTCCAGGAGGGAAGCAGGGCTGACACACAGTAGTCCTACCTAAGTCCTTTTTTAAAGAGTAGGTTCTGGGGAAGGAATAGGTCAAAAGATGCTCCTGTAAAAATACTACAGGCAAGGTTACTCAAAGAGCAGGCTCAAGGGGTTGTGACGGAAACAACAGTCACCTTGTGGCATCATCTTATTGCAGCTTCTGACATCTACCTTTCTCAGTCACATTTGTTTAAGATTGCATTTGTTAAACAGCACAAAGTTATAGGAGCAGGCTGGAGGTGATAATACCATGGGAGGAGGGGTGGGTAGTGCGGGGAGATGAAGGAACAGCCCTGGAAGTATCTGCAAACCTCTCAGGGAACCCTGAAGCGTAATCACGCCGTGACCTACGCAACCATTTCTGGTTGCTTCTCCCATTTCTGGCTGCATCTCAGTCAGGAGTTTACAAATTCCCAAATGTGGGGATGCATAAAGAGATGGACCGACATGGAGATATGACGTTCCTCTTCAGAAACGTCTGGGTCAAACTCCTGCCAGATTCCCCTTGCGTAAAACTAGAGCGCGTCCTCGCTCTGTGAGAAGTGGCAGCACAACTCCGAGGTCAATATTTTGGCCATATCAATGTCCAGCCCCAAAGGAGGAAGCAATCAAGATTACACGTAAGAACATAAGCCAGATTATTCCCCTCTATTAAAGGATAAATAGCTTCTGAAAGTAATTGAACTTTCCCCCCAGAAGTGAACATCTAGGCAGCTCATCAGACCAGTGCGCTGAGTTAGGGAACCCTCAAACTGTGGAGCCACTGATATTGCTCCATTTTTAGGCTTTTCCTGGAGAAAAAAAAAAAGGGAAAAAGAAAGAATATATCTTTTTTTGGCTGCTAACTCATTTATCTTTCACCTGTTCATGGCAGCCCCATTGCATTGATTAGCTAATGATCTCCCACAGCAACATCAAGCTTCACAAATCTGTCATGCATTGATGAATTTCTCGTTACCATTTTCTGGGAGAGTCTATGGTTGAGCTAGTCATGGGCTATAAATATTCTCACAGTTTAGGAATTCATCAGAATCAAAAGAAATTCTCAGCCAGGCTCATTGCAAATAAATAGAGCATCAGCAAAATATAATTTGGAGGCTTTGTGCTAAAGCACTCATTTGAGCTTTGCAAGTAGTTCAAATTTTAAAAGAAGTATCTGCTTACTAATTAGTTTTTCAGTCATTAAGGATCTTATTAAAATCATCCTCAAATGGAGGTTGGAAACTTCTCCACTGCTCTTTAGGAAAATTACACCCAAATTTAGTGTCAAAAATACACCCAAATTTAGCTTAGGGGAAGTCAAGCGGCACAGCTCCTTTCTTAGCTGTCAAGTGAAGGCCTAAAGGAATCCGACATCTGAAACAGACTGGCAAAAACAGCAGGGAAGTCAGTAAGCTATGTTCATTTTTCTAGACTACACCTTGGCCATTTAGGGTTTGGAAAAAAAAAAAAAGCTACAAAAATCAGAGTATTGATTTTTTTTAATGTGGAATATGCATTCATTTACTGACATATGTCAAACTTCAATCAAAGAAGAAATTGTCTACTACTTTCCTGAAAAAGGGGGTAGGGGAAAGGTTCTGCCTTACTTGGGACGAGCTGCCAGAGTTGCTCCTTTCTATCTGATGTGCTGCACAGAGCATACAAGGACTTGTTTCAGCTTGGACTCTGGCCTTAGTCTGCGAGTTTTATTGATTTAAATGGGCTGAGTCTGAAAATAGATATACTTTAAACTCCAGAAGAAAGGCTGTGCTCACAGGAGCTCCAGCTCAATTGGCAGACTTTCAGGGGCTTAACGTTTAAGTCGGAGAGAGAGGTGCATGAACAAAATGAAGAGGCCGATCAATAACGAAGCAGGCAAAAAAGCACCTGAACACTCTAATGCATGTCCAAAACAAATAAAATCCAATCTGCAAACCTTCTGAGGCTCACCATCCTCTTATTTTAGATAACTTTGTACTGTTAAACACTTAGTTCTGGATTAATATTCCATGATTTAATAGGTACAGTGCTCTACTTCTAAATTTTCAGTGCAAACTCCAGGGTAACCAATATTCTCTAAAAGATAAGCGAGAGCCAGATTTGACCTTATGTTCCTATTTCAAACAATGTCAATCCCCGCAAATATGGAAGAGGAGCTATTCAAAAGCTGCATTAAGCCAGCTTTCTTCCAGTAAAAATGTAGGTAGTGATTTTTTTTAGGGTCTAACATCCGAGTTGGGATTTCATCTTGAAAGATGTATCCATTTTATCTACCGTGGTGGTTTTTAGTTACTAATCTCTCAGCGCTAGAAAGCTCAGCCTCCCATACAAACAAGATTTCCTCACTCTCAAGAAATATTTCATTAAAATCTTAGTAAATTGAATAACAAGGCATTTTTAAGGAGCATTTTCACAAACACATTGGAGTTCCTAATGAAGCATTTGAATTCCTCCTTGACATCTGATTTTCTTTCCAGTACAGGGCCGTGGAAAATAATCTGAATTATTACTTCTGTTGCAGTGCCATTTTACTCAAAATATTTTATTCGGAGATTCACATATAATTACCCACCTAATAAAAGGAGCTATTAGGTTGTAAAGATCCTATCCTTTCCATGCTCTTTTAAAATTATGACCCACTCAAGCTTGAAATCAAAGGCAGAGCTGAATGGAATAATTCATCTGAAACTCTCTTATTGGGTTTTGCAGCCTCCTAACTGATAAATACGCAAATTAGCTCCCTTTTGGTGATTCAGCTGCATAAACAGGGATTAACTCTGAATGCAGCTGAAAATTTAGCAATAAAATGTATGCACACAAAATTTAGTCAATTCAACCAGTTATAGTTGTCAATAAACACTGTAATATGCAGCGAAAGGACTAGGACAAGAGGGAGAAGGAAGCACTGAAAAGCTTCACGCAGGCTCACAGCGTCCTGCCGTCAACCACTGTTTGCTTGCTTTTCCTCCCGGACTACTGTCAATAGCAAACCAAAAATATTACGTTGGGAAAGAGCCCCCCTAACTTGTCTGTCCACTATTTACCGGGCCTCCACAGTTCTTCTTTCTGGAGAAAAAGAAGAACTTTCTGTTTCACCTGTTTCACCTGTGGGAAGCACGCTGCATTAGCCACCACTACCCTCTCCACCTGAATTTCGGGTCACCTTCCCATTTCAGCTGTCTCCGCCGAGCGAAGGGGCAGTTGGCGGCTGAGTCGCAGAGTTCCTGGAGCTGAGCCATCTTGCAGGAGGCAGAAAGGCAAAGAAAAGGTCGGGGAAACTTCTGCTGCATTTTTTTTTGTCTTCGCTAGTGCTAAAGGTGGCCCTAGCAGAGCTTTCAAATGTCATCACAGGGCGGTCTGGCACAAAGGCCACCCATATGCGGAAATGTTTTATTACAAGCTTAAGCACATAATTACCGTGTGTCAGAGAAGATTGCATGTTATGTCCGCTTTTCGTAAGTATACAGTGGCTGGCTGGCAGCATGCCACCAATGCAGATTTTTTTTACGTTCCTGGTTCTCTGTTTGCCATACCTAAAACATTAACTATGGGAGGATTTACAAACGCTTGCTAAAATGGCTGAATTTTACAGCAACTTGCTAATACCCACCACGTGTGCAAGATGAGTGGCTGAAACTACAAGAGAAATGAGTAACTGGTCTGTTCGTTTTGTGCTGTCGGGAAAATTTCCAGATTTTTGGTGTGGTGGTACGGCTACTTGCTACGGGTGTTTCTGTATTCAGCAGTAATACATAGAAAACAAAAAGAGTGAACTACAACACTGTCTCATTATGGCATGGTCTATGCTGAAAAACGTACTTGCATGAGGTAAGACTAAGATCTATACAAAGAGCTACAAACCTCTACGAAGTAAAACAAGTGCGTTAGTCATGACAACTTGAGCTCTACGAAGACTAGTAGATCAAAATGAGCAATCCAGCGGCATCAACTACAATTCCACTGTGATGATGTCATTTGCGTTGGCAAAGGACACATTTTCATCACTTCAGATGCCAGATCTACAGCTACGTAACATTCTTCTTCTTTTCTTTTTCTTGCTCTTTATTATTCTTTTCAGGACTTTTCAGGAATCTTCCTTGCACTGAAGGAATGGTGCCGAGAAGAAGATGATTTCATGGGGTCGCGGAGGTGGGGAGGGGGATGCATGAAATACTGGTATGCTGCAATGCTCTTGGATAATTACCTATTCCTCAAAAGCTGTTAGAAGGCTGAGCCTGTGATAGCATTGAGTTGCTTCATTAGCCCCTCCAAACTGGCCATCTGTTCACTCAGATCATCCTGTTCATAAACCTGCAAGCGAGCAAACACACACAAACCAGCAGTCAGTGAGCGCTGCAACCCAAAGCACCTCGAAAGAGCGCAGGAGGCCGCGGGAGAAGCCGAGGCCCCGAGTGGCACCCGCCGAGCCCCGGCGCCTGCCGGGGGGAGCACCCCGCGGGGCCTTGCCACGTTATTCAGGACTGGGCTGAAATGTAAAGATTGAATAGGCTGGTGTTTTTGGGCTTAACCCACGAGCTGAAGAAACGTGAGCCCCACATGGCGGATAATGTTTTCTACTACCCGGCAGATGCATCAAATACTCATCAAAACGTGCCTTTTTTAGGGCAGGCTGCAACTGTTAATTGCCAAGGTCTGGGTTTGCAAGTAGCTGACCTTCCTCAGCTCCTGTTGTTAGTGGTTACTAATTCCTATCATGGCCTTTAGCGGGAGAAGAGGGTGGAGAACACTTTTCAGAAGATGCTCAGCACTTAACTGGACTGGAAAAAAAGCAGTGCTTTGAACTTGCAGCAAACCCTGAAATGATGAGTATCATGTACCTACTGCTAGGAACAACTGTCCTCAAAAATTGCTGAGACAAGAGCAGGAGGGATGAGTCTCCGCTTTCAAAACAGTGAGAAGAAGCTCAAACATTAGTTATTTATGTGGGTTTTATAAGGTAAAAGATCTGTAAGTGCTATAGGAAGCCTGCAGTCCCCAAGGTGGGATGGAGTTAAGAGCAGGCAACTTAAAAGAGCACCCGCTTAAAAAAAGTTGCCTAAATGTTAGCCTTTATCCCCAAATTCTGACCCTCTGATGAACTTGCTGCCTGCATCATTACTTCCTGCAACCGTTCTCACACTTGTGGAGCTCGAGCAGCGTCTCTCCTGAGAAATAAATCGTGCTGCTGTTACAAAATAAGGTATTGAGAGCTGAAACTGCACTTCGTGTTATCAAATGTTCTGTGTTAAATTACTCTTTACACCAGTGATTTTACCAAAGAGAGCCTTTTAATGTTGTTTCCCCCTCCAGCAGAAGACGTTATGTCTCCTACTTGCTCTGTGCAGGAGAGGCAGCAGGATTTGATAAGAAGCTCAGCACCGCAGCCGGGCTGCAGCAAGCCCCGAGCTGCTCCAGCCTGCCTGGCTCAGCAACAGCTTTCACCCACTGGTGCTTCAGTCCAAGCCCCGTCTGGTCCGTCCCGCGGCTGTTGGAGGAGCTGGGGTCTACGTTGTGAGCTACCCTCGCGGAGGTAAAATTCAGTCTTCAGGGGAAGTCTGAAAAGCATCCCCTCTAGCTGCTTGGCCTCTAGCATATGATCTTACCTGCTTTGAGATTTAGGGATAAAAAAAAAAAAACCCTCCTGGCTTTGATCCTGGGACTAGATCACTCTGAGGCCTGCAGACCTTGTTGCAGGAACCAGGACTAACCATTAGCATCACCTCATTTTTGCAGAGAATCAGTGAAGCAGGGGCATCACAGAGGCTCCAGAGGGCAAGAGAAGTTCAGAATGTTAAAACTTTATATTCAAATATAATTATGCCCTTCGACTCCCTTTTCCCAGCAAAATGTGAGAATCCTTCTGTAACTACATACAGAAATATATTTTCATGCTATTGATGATGATAAACAGGAATAAAATGCTATGATCCTACCCTTATAAGCCAGCAGACCAAAAATTCCCATATGCATGTCTAAAGCAAAGCTTTTCAGCCAGGCTGAAAATGTGAAAGGATTCATTAACAAGACGGTGGACAAATCACTGCTATCGTGCCTAGCGAAAAATTATCCTGTGCAAGTAGATGAAAAGAGATAATATGCAGTATGTATTTAATATATATTTTTTCCTTATTCCTTCTCTTTTGCACTGTTTCATCTTCTGGATGTGAGACCTTTCTCTAAGAGAGTCTTAACAGGAGTGAGAAGATCATCCTAATTTCATCATCCTTCCAGTTTCACTTATCTGCTTCTTGACTACTATTTTTCCCTCTATACTCATTCTTCCTGCCAAAATTATTTTCTTCCTTTCTTGCATTTCTCACTCCCTTTTTCTCTCCTCCCGATATCTCGAGGAGCTCAAGAGAGGTTGTGTGAGTTGTCCCAGGGACGATATTAATACAGAATTTAAGCACTCTCTTCTTCCCTGTATCACACGTGCCAAAGTCCATTAATGTCAAAGGGTAAGTTTTACTGACTGCCAAAATCTTTTACTAGGGTCCTAAGAGCTATCGGTTGTCGCGCAATACCTTAGGTAAGCAGGGACCAAACATTATCTAAAAATTACTGTATAGATTGAAGATGGCATAATATATCTCCGGGGCAATGAGCTGGGCAAGGAGGCTCTGTTTGAAGGCAAGTCTTACATTAGCGGGGTCCTCCGTCTGCTTGTGGCCCTCCTCGGAGACCTCCGGGGCTGTGGGCACCGACACCGGTAGCAACGGTGATCTTGCCTTTCCTGCCAATCCAAGCGACGCTGTTTTAACCTGAGCCTTGGGAAGGTTAGGCCCTAAAAGAAGAAACCAAAGTCACAATAAGAACAGACAGCTCTGCGAAGGGCAGCGCAGGGAAGATATCACAGGCAAAATACAGTTGATTTAACTGGTTACCATTGCCGCTTGTGTTTTTGGTCATGACTGTGCAGTCCCCTTTCTAAATATACTTACGCTACTTCTTCCTAGAGGAGCACCGGAACCGACGGAAACACTTTCTAAAAACTCTTCAATTAGATTTAAATCCTGTTGCGGTCCTCAGTAGGATCGACATCCCAGACGTCTCAACGCTGCGGAACGACTGACAGCTACTTCTGCTGCGGGGTGGGACTGTCGTGGGCTCGGCTGCCAAAAGCGACGCGCCGCTAGAGCAGGTTAGGGACTTTCTGTTGAGGCTACTTTTTGATGGGGAAAAAAATGCTCTTTTGCAAAACAAAGTCTTCCAGGCGGAAATTTAATTTTCCCGGGGGAAAATACCTATGAAACTGGTATGCCATGAAGATAATGCAAACCCCGGCCCCACGGCCCCTGCCTGGCAGGGTACTGTCAGTCTGACGTCGTGCTTCAAGGGAGAAAGTGAGACTGGAGAGGCGGGAGCAGGGGGCAGGCTGGGGAAACAGTTCTCCCGCTCTGGCTGCTCATTTCCATGCTTCTTGTCAACTTTTCTTTCTAACTTCCTCAAACTGACAGCAGCCCCCTACGTGGCTCATTGAATGAGCTCAGAAAAATTGTATTTCCCTTCTGAAACAACAACAAAAAAAGACGCTTTCTGACTTTTCTTCCCCATCCGGAAGGAGCTCAAAATATGGAACGGGTATTAAAATATGGTTTCTTTTTTTATAGAAGAGGACTTCCCTTTTTTAAACAACTCTGCTTTTCCCCTGTCTAGCCCCGAGTAAGAGCACTGCTGTTTTGCCAAAGAGGTGCCAGCTCAGGTACTGCTTGAAGTGTGATTCTTTAAAGATGCACTAACTGAGATGCCTTAGCTTTCTCCTAGTGGAAATCAAAATTTTTCTGTTAATGATTTAAAACATCAAAGAGCAAAACCACTGTCCTAGCCAATCTGCCTCCGCTCAGTACGATGGGCCTGACTCTGTGGCAGACACTGCTGGAGACATAGGAGCGGCCAATGGAAACAGAAGCATCTAAGACATTGATTTTAAGTGCTTTGGGATATTTTGAAAATTAAAGCTATCATACAAAATCCAACTGAGATCATGTATTAAAGAAATACGTCACAGATTCAAGGCTGAACTAGGGACAGCATTTTCAGGATAGCTTGCTGCCTGCATAATCCTGCTCCCCCTGAAACTACTGCTTAAACATGCCCCCTCCGAGCTGTGTAAGGCCAAACTCCCTTCAGTGAGGGTCCTTCGTCACTTCTTCCACCTCCTACAGTCCCCAACTTCATTCTTCCCCCATTTCCTCTATGGCCATTCAAGCACTTTGATGCCTCCTGGTGCCCTAAGGCCAAGTATGATGTTCATACGTTTAACAGGCAATCTCCAGACTGACACTTGCTCGGCAGAGTGCATCACATACTGGGGCCTGTAAAATCCCTCAAACCATCCCCAGCAGCTCACAGGAGATCTTCGCTGGCACAGGCAATGACTTTCGACTTATAGGGCAGAGGTCTCATTTCCACAGGACTTGAACAAGATTTTTATTCTGTTCGTTTGACATCCTTGGAAATCAAGACAAAAAAATCGTAAATAAAAACCACTGGCCCAATAGCTTTTTTCTTTATATTCCCTCCACTACGATCTTCAGCAAGTTCCCTCTCTTTTTTTCTATTAAAAAAAGTGTATAATAATAATGATAATAACAACAGCTATCTCTTTGCTAGCTGATCGTGCTTGTTAGAGGTATTAAAAGACAGCAGCATCAGGAAGTCAGCTCCGGAAATACTGAGTCCTTTAGGCTCTTGGCCATTACATCAGAATTAGACGCAGAGAAAAACAGGTCTTGGCACACATGAGCCATAAAACGTGCATATGGAAGCAGGCGCCCCCACGGGCGAGCCCAATGACCCTTACTGTGACACCCATCAAAGGCGCTATAGCCTGGAAGCTGTTTCAGGCTGGAAATTGCAGTTTTCCAAAAGCGCTTAAATCTGGTAGACTACTAAGGTGTCCCATTTGCTCCCTTGTTCAGCATTTCTTTTGGACTATTGTAGGTTTTGGCAGCTTTCTGTTTACTATACCAGCTGTGAGGGATCTTATTTCCACCCATCCCTTCTCCTTCTCCATGGATCCTGGGCATGCCGAGAGCTGGGCACAGTAAGGGAGCATCACGACTCCCAAGTCCCTTTCTGGACTGGTGTCTAAAGGTTATGCTGTCTCTCACTGGAGCAATAGTTCAGCTAGCTCCATACCCCGTCTCTGGAAACACCCAGCTTCCATGCAAAACCAAGCTGTCTGCTCATCAATCTTAAGCTTAAACACCCATTTGTTTTCCCTTCATCATCAGATTCCTGCCTTTTTCTTAAAGATGATTATGGGCTCATTAAGCGTAAGGCTCCCGAGCCTGGTGTGATGCTACCACGAGGATAACTGCGGCGCAGCGAGGAAGGCAGCTGCTGCAGCCGGAGCGGAGAACTACCCGCCAGGTCCCAGCAAACGACCGCCGGCCTGACAGCTTCTGCGTTCCTGCAGCTCTAACGAGTAGCCAGCAGACAAAAGTTGCGGATTAATTTCCCGGTATTTCAAAGAACTGTGTTTACAGTCTTAATTAGTTGAAGGCAGAGAAAACACAATGGAGCAGGAGAGGGAACAAAATCCCTCCCTAAATGGAGCTGCCAACAGCCTGTTCATTAAAGGCAAGTTGCAGCAAAGAACTGCACGACACGGGCAAAAATGGGAAAGAGAGTCACAAACACAATTGCTTTGAGGCTGAGAATCCTGGATAATTCAGGTTTAACGGAAGCTATGGAAGTGCCAAGGCTCAACCCAAACCCAAACAGATCGCCACAAAGATACACTCACTCCTCCAGCTCCCCTTTAACAGCTAAAAGACTTTTTTAATCACCGGGCCTTCAAACTTCCCTGTATCTCAGAGTAAGAACAGAAGATACAGTTATCCCCAAAGATTCAATCTTCGAAGTGCTGCACATTCTAATCATTTTATAAGAAAGGAAATGTTTTTCACTTCCATTTCTTAACAAAAAGATGATTTCCCGAGAAGAAATGTAATCCCCCCTCCCTTCCCTTTCAGCTTTTTAATGTTCTTTCTGCTATCTCCAAACCAAACACAGGCTTCCTGACTGGCATCAGTACGAGCACCCACAACGTCTTGAGTGACTGAACGATTGCTGCTACAGAGCAGTGGCATCATATGTTATTTGGCAGCGCAAGAAAGCACGCAGAGAAGAAACCCAGCCACCGCATGGCTCAACGGCTGGAAGACCTGCTCGGAAAGGCGCTTCTAAGCTTCCAAGTTTTGTTAAACCCGGGCACAGGTCGCTGTATCAGCACGTGGGGCATTTTGGCATGGAGCGGAAGGGGCACAAGATGCCTGAGCTGGGTTTCGGGCCCTGCGCTTGGGTCGCTTGCGGCTATCTTGTGCACTGCGCATCCCGTACTGGCTCGGTAAAGCATGGGATCTGGCCTCATAGCCACACATGCGCTAACATTTAGAATTAATCCTCAGCGCTATTATGGGAAAAAACCTGTCTGCTCCCTGCTATGTAACAGCCCTGAAGTGTTACACATCTTAAGCACTGACTGCAACGTGCACCCAGCGGTTATACGCTGCAGAGCCAATGAGAAATGCAAGAGATTAATTACAGAAAAAAAAAAAAACAGAGATAAGGAGGTTGTATCACAGACAAATTAAAGTCTAAGCTCATTGGGGCAGAGACTGTAGCGTCTCAACATTATTTTCCAAACACTTTGAAAACATCTGCAGCACTCAGTGAAGAAAGAAACAGCAGCTGTGCCTCCTGCAGCTGCTAGCTGTGTCATTATCTCTGTTCTGGTAGCACTCCAATGCCCTCCTAAAGGCAGACTTATCAGAGGCCTATTACAGGAAATCTTGACTGGGTCCTGGGATAGCACTGTCAAACGAAGAATAAACAGCACCATTGCAGAGGCACCGCATCAGTGCTGCTTACTGGTTAGCTAATGCACCATATAAGCTTTCTTTATGCAAGCGACTTCGCATTGTGACTTGCTTGATCCTCATGGACTGGTGGAGAAGGAAATGGTGAGGGGCGCATGTGAAATGCAGAATATGTTCCTCTTACAAACCTGTAAATCCCGTGGTAAAAATCATGTCTCTCATATGTAACTCATTAATTGTAGTAATTGGCCTTAAAGACCTGCTTTTCTGCACAAAGACAGATGTTCCCTCCCGGATATTGTTAATGAGAAGCCGTAATGATGATTATGCTTAAGTTCAGTTTGTGCAACGTTTTGCCCTTTAGCTCACAAAAGCAACAGGCAAATCATGAAGCTCGAAACTAAAGTGAAGCTGAGAAAATGTTGCTTAGGTTTGGCTGTACATTCCCAGTTCTTTGGTAAATGTCCTGCAGCATTTTCAAAGAGAATGGCTGCAATATGTGACTAGTGCAACAGTTGAACCCCCTTCCCCCAAAGGATATTAGAAAGACCGAGCGGGCCTCTCCATGAGGGTTCTGCACACAGAAGGCTGACATGCTAAGTAAACTAATTTATGCAAATGAGTAGCTAATTAAATTAAAATCACTTTGGTTTCTAATGTTTTCCAATTTAGCAGGAGCCTCAAAAACAAAAAAAAGCAAACGTTGGAACTGAGGCCACCGAGGCAGGAGATGACAATGCTGATCAGGTGTACTTCTCAGCAGCCTCAGCACAAATTCACCGCTTTAAAGTTTCGTTTTCTCAGTTGGGTTATTAAACATTTCGCTGGCTCATTAGTTATATAATATATGACTACCAGGTGCAAACTCCAGCTACCACTGCTTTTCAGAGGCCCATACTGAACGCATTACATTATCATCCTTTATATTTCAGGAGCATCGCACATTAGTGCGAGCCTG